TCCAGCCAGAGGTATTAATGGCAAAGTAAAAAGCCAAGTGCAAATAAATTACCCCGTCTCCTCCGGGATTACTAATGTAATTATTTGAAGCAGTGTTCTCATTAGGATGTTCATGGATGTGGAAGGCTTTTGGAATAAAATGACAGATATGACAGATAGACGGTGAGGGTTTAGCGCCTGGAAATTACCTTTATAACTGATTCAACACTCAGATACCTTTGACTACAACAAAAGACACAGAAAAGTTTCCTCTCTGCCACAGAATTCATTTTTTTGTTAAACCGGGGGGATGAGTGATTTTGGGAATAACTAACCACAATCCTCTGGTCACAGATAAGATTTTATTTGATTGTTGAATAATCTTTCAGAACCGGCAGAATTGTATCAGTTAAAAAAAAATTACTTTACATTTCGAAGGTGTCTCTGGGGGCTGTCGGGTGTTAAATTTGATCCTCTAAAGTTCAAACGCATGAAAAACTCCCCAGAGCGGATGGCAAAAATATAACACCATATGAACACTTTCATTTCAAATTGCTATACATACATTAAAAATGTTCATAAACATTCAGTATTGTATAAATATAAAAGATCCAGCAAGTAAAAATGTCAGCAAGTACACACACAAAAAAATCCCTTTTTTACACAGTAAAATTGCTGCTTACTTCAAAGTTTAGCTGTCAGTTCAAGGCCCTCCTTATCTTCAACAGCAAACTCATTTTTGAATTAAATTCTTCATTTGCAGATTGTCTGAACAGCAGAAATCGTTGTCTCTGTTAAGCATGCCTTACGCAATGAACTGATGAACACTTTATCCTTTCTGGGACACAACAGGAAGCACATAAAACAGCTACTGAAGCAGGAGAGCATCAAAGGGAGACAACATCCAAACGGAACAAATGCTTTCCTTTATACAGAAAAAAAAACCTCCTGTGTTTTAAGTTTTCGGTAATTTATTTTGTTGAATCGTTGCTTTTATAGAAATGTTTATGGTTTAAATGGCTGTTTTAAGGCCTGGGATACACTTGCTGTTTTAGCGACTCATAAGTGTGTTTAAGATGGCTGCATCATTTGTGCGCGTCCGAACGCTGCAAAACATGAGTAATCAGCTGACAAAGCCAGTGAGACACACTCAACATAGTAACTCCGTCTCTGGTTTAGAGGTCTTTCACACCATCTACGGTACTGCTACTCTTTTTTACTGTCGTGATCCCAAATTTAACCAGTTACTGATCTCTTCCATAGAGGCCATGTTTGTTTTGGTTGTACCCACAAACACAAGAGCACGGCTCTCTATCCGGTCTGAGTAGTCTAGGTTGCACCCTAGTGGAACACTCCAATACTACACGCAGTGCCGTGCAGTAGCGAGTACGTAAACAAAGACGCAGACTGCTGTCTGTACCAACACGTGGTTCAAAAGCAAGTATATCCCAGCCCAAGATCTAGCTTTAAACAGTGTTCTTGTTTGGATGCATTTAAATCATTACTAAATTTAGAATTAAACACTTCTAAAAATCCTTCAGAATTTCTTATTTTGAACAAAAAATTTGCATTTATTATCCTCTCATAGAATCGTTATTTCTTCTCCAGTGTAAACCAAGCACTAAAACATGAAGGCATTTGAATTGTGTCTCTTTTGTTGGGTCAAAAAAGGATTACAAATCTGTCCAGTCCTCACAGTTCCTAAAACTGTGTTTCACCACATGCTCATAGGAGACATATCATGACTTTTTAAAGTTATAATAGTTCTGTGGTCAATACAAAACTTTAACATATACCATCAGATGAATTTTAGCCATGTGATTACATCAACACCATCCAGAGACCTTTAGACTCAGAACACTGTTCACACTGTCCCAAAATGTTTTTAATTGGGATGTATTGTGCCTTATTTTCTTAATTTGTAATAATTCTTTGGACAAAAGAAAACATTCCTGAAATTTGTTGCACTAAAACTCTTTCGCGTGTAGCAATTTCAGCTGTTCTGTTCTGGGCAGTTTCAGTACCTTCCAGAAAGAGCTGTTTCAGGGCTCTGTCACTTTAAAGTGAATATGTGTCGTTTTTACTGTTAATCTCTGGAAATGTCCATCGAAATGTTGTTGTAAGTGAATTAAAAACTACCCAGCTGTTGAAAAATATTGGCAGTTTCACAACACATAACCACAAGAATCCGTTCTAAAATATATGGGAGCGGGTCTAAGCCTCTGGGTGATGCCATGTTGGATGCCATGTTTCCTTCTAAAGAAGCCCGTGAGGACAAAACACAACTACTGATTTGTAACCAATGGTTAAAAAACTTTCACCAATAATAAACTTTGTTGTTTTACACAATTACCTCTTCACTCATTGCCACTGATGAAATGGTAAATGGCCTGTATTTGATATAGCGCCTTCTAGAGTCCTAGAACCCCCCAAGGCGCTTTACAACACAATCAGTCATTCACCCATTCACACACACATTCACACACTGGTGGGGATGAGCTACAATGTAGCTACAGCTGCCCTGGGGTGCACTGACAGAGGCAAGGCTGCCGAGCACTGGCACCACCAGTCCCTCCGACCACCACCAGCAGGCGACGTGGGTTAAGTGTCTTGCCCAAGGACACAACGACAGTGACAGACTGAGCAGGGCTCGAACCTGCAACCTTCCGATTACGGGGGCGAGCACTTAACTCCTGTGCCACCATCGCCCCAAATGGAGTCTGATGTGCTTGTTATTTTGCTGGAGGTTGCACTCCCAGGGATTTTTTACGCTAATGGCCATCCGTTGGTAAGGTTTTACTCGAACACAAAAATAATGCTTGCTTGCAATGATTTGGGTATGTACTGCCCCCTATTGCCAGAGATAATACACACTGTCACTTTAAGAAAATAAGCTGGAGCTGGCCACGCCCACCCCATTCCCATTCAGGCTCCTATAAGCTGAGGAGCTCTGATACCTGGGAGGAGCTCAGAGTAGAGCCGCTCCTGCAGGAGCAATTTGTGACATCACAAACTGAAACTCTTTGAAACAGCTTGTTTATGAAGCCTAATTTCTGAAACCAAACTGACATAAAATAGAAATATGTTTTTTTTTTTTTGCACATTTGGAGTTTACAGAGGCAGTAGAGACCCACATGGCAGCAAAAAATGATGCAAAAGATTAGTTTTGCATAATATGTCCCCTCTAATAAGTTTTATCTGTCAATATTTGTATAAACAACTACCAGGGCAAAAGCATTCTCAGAGACCATGCACTGTTTGCAAACTGCAGACAGAGTCTTCTGAGAACTGCTGACAATTTCATCCCAGGAGAAAGAAACAAAAGGAATGTAATTTGCAGAGGTGTGACCAAGTCACTGCTTTGCAAGTCACACGTAAGTCACAAGTCTTTCCAGTCAAGTCTCAAGTCAAGTCCAGGTCAAAGACAACCAAGTCCAAGTCGAGTCCAAAGTCAGTGATATGGAACTCCAAGTCAAGTCCAAGTCCTTAACTTTGAATTTTCAAGTCATAATCAAGTCATCTGTCCAACTTCAATTTAATAACAATGGCAATAAGTAAATTCCAGAATTAAACCTTCTTAAAGATTATTTTGTTTGCTCAAACAAGCAGAAAGTGAAACTGATTATAAACAAAGTGCTGCTGCATTCGGCAGTAAATCAAACTCAGAACCAAGAATGATTTATGATTTTGGTCCATGTGGTGCCACTTTTGTGCCAAAATATCAAATATGCTCAAGTCATCAACAAGTCAACAGATGCAAGTCGATTCAAGTCGCAAGTGATTGGCATTCAAGTCCAAGTCAAGTTGTAAGTCTTTATAGATTTTATCAAGTCACTCGAGTCTGACTCGAGTCCAAGTGATGTGACTCGAGTCCACACCTCTAGTAATTTGCTGCCCAAGGAAAGGCTAGCCATATCAGGAAATGTAGAATTCCTTCTGTCATGTTTTAGTTTTCTAATATTTAAATCTGGACAAAAGGCATGAAGCTATCATTTGCAACCATTTGAAACCACAGGCTCCTATAGAGACAAACAGGTAACCAGTCAGAGGAACAGTCGCTGATTGGATAAAACATAACCCACACTTGATATATATTTAAAACACTTAAAAACAACAAACATATTAATTAAAATGAAAATAAATATGTGAAGTTTCAGAAAATGTTACCAAAAACAACAAACTGTTAAACTGTCTCAGGAAGCAACCATGAAAAACCATTTAAAAGTGTTTGTTCCCCTCCTGGTCTCAGTCTCCTCTTCTGAAACAGTTTCTGGATAGAAGCCTTCAGAACAAACATAAGGACCTAAGGTGTCAAAGGTCTCATGATTTCATGTATTTAGTATCAGTACTTTTACCTTCAGAAGTCCAACACACCTTAACCCACAAGGACTTTTAAAAACATGGATTACGGAACATAATATTTTGTTACTTGTTCAAAACAAATTTTTAAACATTAATTTAAATGTTTGCTGTTATTCTAATCTCTTCATTTTTTGGTAAATCTGGTGTTTGTCAGGAGCCGATGTTTAGCATCATGCGATTATTTTGTCCTCAGGTGGGTTCAACATGTTGTTTCGATGGCAGCTTCATGCTGAAACATGTCCTTGTATCCCACGTCCACATTAAGATACAATAATCTTTGTGCATCCCTCTTTTTAAATTATAGACCTCAAAAAAGTATTTTGTCCCTCAAGTCTTTCTTCTTTTTCCATTTATGGTACTTCCTGTCACTTAAGCCCTGAAACATCTGATTTTCAAATTCTAGAGTGCACTTTGTGTCTGATATTTATGACTCACTCCCAGATAAAAGCAAGAATCTTGAGTCTTGATGTCATTTAAATGTAGGGTGTGAATTACGGGGGGGCTAAGGGGAGCCTGGCTCCCCCGATAGGGTGATGGGCTTCCCCAGAAGCCTTCAAATGACACGACCAGGAAGAGCATTAAAAACAATCTAGTTTCCTCAGTGCCCCGCTCTTAGGGAGCGGACGGACCCCCCCCCCCCCCCCCCCCACACACACACACACACACACACACAATTATAGCATTTTGATGGGGCTCACTCAGAAGCCTGTGCGTAATTCGAGCCCTGTTATAATGATGTTTGAGTTGAGAGCTGTTCATAAAACGGGCTCAACAGTTTGTTTTCTCTTCAATTCCAGATGTTTCACCAGCAGAGCTCGATAGGAAAGTTTCTTTACTTGTTATAACAAAAAGTCAGAAAACTTATCTTTAATTTATCCTCAAAACCAAACATCCACCTGGAATCAGACCCAGAGCACATATCATTTCAAAAGTCACTCCAAAACATTCATGTTTTAGTGTTTCTAAATCCAAACCCATCCTCAGAATGTTCATTTAGCCAGATTTGGAGCACTGAGTCAGCTGAGTGCATTTCAGGGAAACATTCATGTCAGAGAACTGGGAAACCTCAAATTATGACCTGATCTTGGTGGGATCATCATTTCCATCTGTTAAACAGAGCAGGAAAAATAGAATCCTGATGTCTTTCTTAGTTCTCTTTCTTTTTTAAAATACAAAATATAACAAGTGAAATGGGGTCAAGCAGAAAGGGCAGAAAAAAACAGCACATCAAACATTTAAGTATAACCAAAGCGATGTAACAACCTTAATTTTTTTTAAACACATCAGCAGCATGGAAAAAGACTTTTTTTTTTACTCTGATGGAGGACATTTACAAAGAAATTGTAAGTTTACCACTGGTTTGCCTTTCTTGAAAGACACAAGGAGGGTTCAGCACTTCAGCATGATAAACAGCGAACACTACTTCCTGTTCCTGTTAGCATCAACAAGTCACTGAGTTAGCTTGTAGCACCTTTCAGTTTTATTGTCAGTTTTTGTTGCTTGCAGGTTCCAAAAACCTCTTTCTCCCACCGTCGTTGTAAAACTGACATACTGTAACTACAGCGGAATGAAGCCGAAGCAACATGCCGAGCTGAAGCAACCCGGCCCGGAACGCCGTTCTCCTTATTCCAGTCGGCTCAGAGGATCACCTGGGGGTTGATAGCATAGGCTTCTTTTTGCCATTGCACGCTTGCTTTGATGTCTCTCACATTAAACATGAAGAAAAAAAATCCTCGAAACAGAATACAACCACTCCAGCATGGTGTGGGTGTGAGCAGGGGAGGGACAGTGAAGGCTTAGAAGAAAAAAGTTTGTTGAAGGAGGAATTGGGAAAGGCTTGGGAAATGAAAGCTGAAAAGCAGGGAGCGTGGTGTGAAATCCTCTTGGCAAACGTTCCGTTGTGTCTTGGCCAAAGCTCCCATGTAGAAGGGCCGTTGGATTGTTTCACAGTTAAATTTAATGAAGTGAAAAGGTTATTTCTTTTTTAGTTTGTCTCTTAGAGCAGCACCAGATTGTCACTGCAGCAAAGACACAAGTGCATCCAGTCGTCCACTTCTGACAGTCTCACCCTAAAAACAGCTCGTGTCTGCTTTTCCTGGGTCTAGTTTCACACAGAGACATTTTGGGACAATAAATAACGTTAAAAGCCGGAGGGGGCGTTTACCCAGGCCTGATGCATATTTACAGAATTAGTGGTGACCAACCAATCAGTCACGACCACCGCTCTGGACTTCTTTCCCTTTACCGGCTGTGGGGGGCTTGGGTCCAGCCTTTCCTAGTCATGTGGTCCTGGGATTGGGAAGATCAAAGACAATGGGTGGGTTCATGGGCAAAAAGTTAACGGTGCAGGCCGAGGCATTGACGAATGTTGTGGTGCCGTCTGTCATCATGCCGTAGCCTAAAAAGGTTCAGAAGAGAGGAAAAAGTATGCATTTTTGCATTTTTTTTTCAAATCCTATGGGACAACAAGGGTTATAACATAATATAAATGTTATTTAGTGAAAAAGATTTGGAAAAATATAATGTAAAGTAAAAAGGCTAACGTCTATATAACTTTTAGAGGAGTTCGGAGAATGCTTCAATAAGAAATAGGGACTAAAGTTTACTCTACAAAGTGGTCAACCGGCCAGTTAAAGGATTAAAATCTGTTCTTTCAACACTTCAGTGAAATACAACCACCCAGCATGTTTGGGCCTCTCCAACATTAAAGTTTGGGCTGGATCCAGATCGACTCGCTGGTCTGCCCAGATCCAGACTAGAGTCTGGATTTAAACCTAGATGTAGCTGTTGATTATTTAGTTTTTAACTTTAAAATAATTTTTTTTGACGTTTTACTTTAACTTGAACCAAAGTTAACTAACGTTCTTTAGTTAATAAGGAAACTGAAGCAGTGTTGTTATTTTCAGCAGCTTGTGATAACAACTTTGGAGGTCAGAAAGAACAAGACCACAAAGAAAATATTTAAATATGTAGCAATAAAGAAAATATAGAATTATTTAGCTGGCAGCTTTGTGTCAGAACGTGGTTCCTGCTGATAAAATAAAAACGCTTAATATCCCAATAAAAAAAACAGCATGTTTTTGTTTTTAAAATTCAAACTTATTAACTACGATTTATCATTTAATCCCATTTTATTCTGTTATTCATTGTCAAAGTAAATCTAGCCTTTTTTAACCATCTCAGCTCATGAATCTTATTTTACATGAAAACAAACCCAGAATATTTTTAATCCGCTGTGAATCTCTCCTGGAATCTTCTCATTAGTGAAAGCTGTTCCCAGCCCATTTGTGAACTAGTTTGTCTCTGATTGGGAACGGCAGCTCCGGGGCTTCAGACGCTGACCTGATAACTGAGGAGGCGTTCACCTCTCAGCCCTGGTGGCTCTAAAGCTCAGAATTAGATGAAGCAGTCATAATGTTTGTAAATGATCTTTATTATGACCCGGCTTGTTCGAGTTCATGTGTAATAAACTGATACATATGATCATAGTCAGCAGGAAGAAGACATCCCAGAGTGAGAATATTGACATAAAAAGAAACAAATAAACTCAGAAATGATTTTAACAGCAGGTCAATATTTGACCAGGTTATTGATTCCAGCTCATAATCTTTCTAAAAGTGTATTCATCTCTGTAAACTGTTGCATTTATTGTAACATGATGTATATATCTGCACACCTTTTTGATTTTTCTGTTGGTTGTTTGCTTTTGTTCATTTGCACCGATGCAGAGCAGTTCTCTAGTTTTTCTGTGTTACCGTGATAACGCCCACAGTAAAGAGCGTTTTGTGTTTTTATAACGACAGAACACATACAGCCATTGTTGTGAAGGCACTAAAGAAGGTTGTGTATCAGTTTCACTTCCTCTGCAGCTTTAATGCTGTTGGAAAACTAGAGCTGGCAGTTTGTTCCACAAAAACAACATTTCAGCAGACACTTCTGAAACAATCACACAACAAAAACGCCACTAAATTTAATTTGTTAGATAAAAATTTTAGTCCTCTCCCACAGAGGCCTGAGCCTCTGATGTAGTGTAAGCTGGCATCACAAGAGGTCCTTTTTAAACAAACTGTTTAAAAGCAACATTTCTAATAAACCCCAAACCTTTTTGCAGAAGTGCTTAAAAATCTCAAAACACAACTATTAACCAATTCCAGATGCATTCACCTTCATGAATGTGTCCGAACACGTGTAGTTTGGGTTGGACTCTCCTCTGGACGGTGTTCAGCAGCTCCATGCATCCGACACGCTGCATCTTCTTAGGGACCCAGTCCAGGAAGCCTGAAGCAAGGCAAGGAGCTAATCAGACAATAGATCCACTCCTCAAATGGAGCCGCTGTTCACTCAGCTGCTTCTTTTACACATTCAAATGTAACACTCAGGTCTCCTGACACATTTAATAATCACTTACTCATAAGTATATTTTTGCATTAGTGGAGGAGAAAGGCAAACTTTCAACAGAGATATGGATTATTTGGGTAACTGAAATGCACGACAAAGATTTTCTAAATGTTTTGATATTTTTAATATTTAAATTCAACAATAATTTCAGTTGCATGGTCAGAGATGATTTCTATATTAAAAGTAAGAGAATGCTGTTCTGAAAAATTGTAGTTGCAAGTGTTCATTGGTTCATTGCTCTCTTGAAAAGATCTTCCTAAAATGATTAAATAAATGCCAGCTTTGATTTTAAAGGTGATCATTCTTATTTTTAACGGTCTGAAGGTCAATTATAACATCCATCCATTTTCTGAACCCGCTTGTCCACGTAGGGTTGCGGGGAGGGGGGCTGGTGCCTATCTCCAGCGGTCGACGGGCAATCAGGCGGGGTACACCCTGGACAGAGAGCCAGTCCATCGCAGGGCAACACACACACACACACACACACACACACACACACACACACACACACACACACACACACACACACACACACACACACACACCTAAGGACAATTTAGACAGACCAATAAACCTAACAGTCATGTTTTTGGACTGTGGGAGGAAGCCAGAGTACCCGGAGAGAACCCATGCATGCACAGGGAGAACATGCAAACTCCATGCAGAAAGATCCCAGGCCGGGAAGCGAACCCAGGACATTCTTGCTGCAAGGCCACAGCTCTAACCACTGCGTCACTGCGCAGCCCCTCAATTATAACATCTCTAGCAAATCTATTTTTTTGACGTTGAAATGAAAAGTCCATCTCTGCTTGTTGAACATCAGTAAAACAGAAAAGCGAAGCAGACTTCTCTTTATTTTACGCGTTCATTTAACTGGATGTTTTTGCGTTTTTCATGTTCCTCAACAGTGACTGATAAGACTTGTCTCTTTGGATGGCCATACATCACAAATTAAACAGAGCATTTGGGTTTCATTGAGCTGTTTATTTTCACACAAAATGAAAAAAAAATTGTCTTCGAAAACAATTCTATAAAAATAAGATCAATCAAAACAACACATCTGCAGACTTCAGTCCACCCGACAAGGATGAAGCATGGCGTGTTTATGATTTATTGGTTGCGCAGAGCGGAGGGATGCTGCTGATGCTGAGGAGCACATGAGTGAGGAGCTGGTGCATATTTCATTTTTGTCACTTTGTCCTGATAGGAATAAATGAATGAACAAAGAAAATAATTAAAATGAACAAATGAGGAACAATATTAAAACAAGAGACATGTCAAAATGGGAATTTTGAATGAAACAGAATCTAAAATGTATTAGATGAGCAGTTGCTGATAAAAATGTTTGTAAAATCCACCAACATCTCCTTCTAAGAAAAACTTTTTTTAAAAGCAAATTTGAAACAGGTGAAACAAAAGAACGAGAAAACCAATTTTGACTTTTAATTGTTTTGTGATTCACATCTAAGCTGGAGATCCCCACCCCTCTGAGTGCAGAGAAACTTTACAAATCTATAACATTTAAATAGCAACTAATTAAAAAAATCTAGTTAAAGTGTTTTTGCTCATGATCGGGTTTGAACAAGCTGCAAGGTAAAAAAAAAAAAAAAAAAACGGTTTCATGCATTTCCAACACGGAGTCAGAGACAGTGGAAATTAAGTGAGAATTTATGAGGCTGATTTTTCGTGTGTGTGTGATTGTGTGTGTGTGTGTGTCTTTTACTCTAATGTGCTTCTTTTTTCAAACAGCTGCTGCCTTAGGCACAGAGCTTGTTTTCCTCTGTTGTGTCTCACTCTCACCCTGTCTCTTTGTGCTGTTAACTTCTTTCTCACAGCCAAATAAAAAGACCATATTCTCCCGTATCCGAGCCACCGATATGCAGCTTTATCACACCTTGTAAAAGCCTGTGGCCTTTGCCGCAGTGCAGAACGTTCACGTTGCTCTTTCCTCTGTCTCTTGTTTTATTTACTTCTTCAGTTTTTGGTGTAGAAACATTTCCAAAGATCATGTTGACTGTTTCTCTTTCCCTGCATGCCTCATCTTCTCTTGTCAGTCCCTCCCCTTGTTGTTCTGTGTGAGATGGTGTCATGCACCAGAGGCCGGCTGTAGCTGCTCCATATGGTGCTGGTTTGTGAGCAGATAGCTGGAGACACTTGGCTAAGCTGAATGAAAAATAAATGGCCGTGTTTAGAGCTGAGACAGAGACACAGAAATCAATCACAGACAATCGTTTGAGTGGCACAGCTGCAGTGGGAGATGAGGTGTGAATGTGTGTGTGTGTGTGTGTGTGTGTGTGTGTGTGTGTGTGTGTGTGCGTGTGTGTGCTCGTGCACATGCTTGGGAGTAGAATTCAACAAATTAGCATCTGTGTTTCTTGAGCATCTTGTTGTGTGATGAGGATGTGTGGAATGTGTGTAGAAGCTGAAAGGCGATTACTAACATTTCTAATGTGGATAAAAAAAAGCTGCCATAATTTCAGAGTAACAAGCAGCTTAACTTCCTGCATGTGAACTTAAATTGAGGAGAATATCTATGGAATGAGTGAATAAACTCAGTTCTCATTGTTTTATGTTTTATGTTTATCTATTTGGCAGACGCTTAGACGCTTTTATCCAAAGCGACTTACAATTTATAAACTATAGGGCATGTTGTAAAGTGACTATCCAGCCGTGTCATTATTTATTTAAGGAAAACTAAAAGATTTTAGACAAAAGTTTGTAATTCTTGGTTGTTTATTTTTATTTTTTAGGCTTGTTGAAGTTAAAAGATTCATGTCAATAGTCGTAGGAGTTTGATGCAGCACATTTTAACCCTCCCACTGTCTTTATGGGTGACCCCACGAGGAAAGTTGATCATTGAGCAGGATTGATGGTTTATCCTTTGAGGTCCACGTGGCAGGGGTGAGGTGGTGCTCACTCCTCACCCCTGCCACGTGGACCCAAGGGATCAACCATCAGCCCTGCTCAATGGTCAACTTTCCTCGCGGGGTCACACCCATTCGGACAGTGGGAGGGTTAAACACAAAACACCAAAACAACGTGTTGGAGACACGTTGGAACACAGAATATTTATCATCCACTAATAACGAGACATTTACTAAAAGGTTATTTTAAAAATCACAAAAACAACGTTTATAAAACTAGGCTTACAAAACACCCCTAAAGAAGAATCAGTTAAACACAGAGACACTACCAGACAGCAGAAGTGTTTAACGATTATTTCAGTTATTCGGCTTAAAATGTTTTTTTTCTTTCCATGGTAAAACCTTATAACCAATGTGAACCTTTGGGATTATTAATGGAGTAATGTGTTTGTGGGTGCACTGAAAGAAAAAGTCTGTTGGGTTTACATTATTGAATCACTGGTTGCATGAAATTAGATTATGTTTTGATTTTATTGATTTATTTTAACCATGGTTGGGTGGAAAAGATTCCCCAGCATGCCACGCTCTTTCTAAAATTGAAATGAATTAAATAAACTAAAATAAATCAATAGATTGATTACAGTTTGAGTTCAATTCACATTTTAAGTAAATTAAATTAAATATACATGTGCTAAAACACTATTCCTCAGGCTGGCAGTGACCAAAGAAACATGACTGAAAAGGATAATGGTACAGAGGGGTCAGTGTCTCTAACTAGAATAACACCTGTTTAAATCCCAGGGAGCATGTGCAATATGGTCTAGACAGATGAGGGCACAGGCACCCTGAAGAAATGGCTTTGGTGATTTTATGGAAATTATATCAATGTATTTTATGAATTCTGTGTTGTAGAACATGACAATTTCATGTTCTACAACATGAAATTGTCATGTTCTAACAACATGATACAATCATGATTCAATATCATGTATTTATTATGTTGGCAGTATATAATGAAGTTCTAAAACCAAAACATGATGTCATTTCATGAAACCGATGTACATGATTCAGTTATGTTAATCTAACTGACTTTTTCTTTCAGTGTGTTTACTGTTGCAGGTGGTGCACTTATCTCTTAAACAGGATGAACTTCTAATAGAAAAACTACCACAATAATACAAACATATAAACAGCTGTATGGAGTGGCACCTAAAGAAGAGTTGCACTTTGCAAGTAAACAGAGATGCATTTATTTTTTTTTTTGTAACCAAAAAGCAACACTTTCCACTTTCCACCTTTTCGGCCATTTTTAAAGTGTATTTTTGAACAATAAATTACTTGCAGATATGTTATCTATATGATAGACAGTAATAATCAATAATTGATTCAATAGATCTTACATAAACAGATGCATCTGGATTAACTCGTATCGACTTGGACTAGCGCTGGACCCTCATGCTACTGGGACAACAATACTCCTCATAATGTAAATTTTGCAGCTTTGACAAACGCATTTGACCAGCCTATGATTTACTCTAGCTCACATGTTTTGTCTGAAAGTGGGTTCATGTATTTTCCTAAAATAATTATATTTGGGGCTACGGTGGCACAGGAGTTAAGTGCTCGCCCCGCAATCGGAAGGTTGCAGGTTTGAGCCCCGCTCAGTCTGTCGCTGTCGTTGTGTCCTTGGGCAAGACACTTAACCCACGTTGCCTGCTGGTGGTGGTCGGAGGGACCGGTGGCGCCAGTGCTCGGCAGCCTCGCCTCTGTCAGTGCGCCCCAGGGCAGCTGTGGCTACATTGTAGCTCATCCCCACCAGTGTGGGAATGTGTGTGTGAATGGGTGAATGACTGATTGTGTTGTAAAGCGCCTTGGGGGGTTCCAGGACTCTAGAAGGCGCTATATCAAATACAGGCCATTTACCATTTACCATTTAAAATTGACTGCAAAACGAAAAACACTTTTTTAGCTCTGCATTCAAAACATTAATATGATAAACTTCCTTTATTGCAGTGGGATACACAGCAGATCCATACAGCTACAAGAGTTACACCCAAAATATGCTTTAGTGAGGAATTCTGACACAGAATCAGTCATGCACCACCACAACCAGCACCAGGGTTAGTATGCTTAGATAAATGAAATATGATCAGCTAAACCTTATTTCTCTGGTTTCTGTTTGTCGTGTGAGTGGTTCTGATTAAAAAGCAAGCTCTAAGATACTGGTCTGCATGTAGAGCAAGTGACTGACTGAGAAACTTTCAAAATCCCATTTTAGAAACTGAATTTATTCAGGATGGATGCCGGATTGATTAGCTTCCACAGCTAAGTGGGCCTGCTAGTGAGGTTGCACTGTAACTGGATGTGCCAGATGGTTTGTACACACAACCATCTGATTGGAGTTGGGAAAATGTTTGGAAACGTTCTACGGCTTTCAAAAGTTACTCAGCAGAAGAATGGATGAACCATCTGTCAAATATTCTCTACTGAGACCATCCCAAGTGATGAAACCAGCAGTTTGGAGTCAGTTTTTTTAACGAAAGTCTTCTAAAAGCCAACAGTGAGAAGTGTGGATGCATTTTAGGGCCTAAATATCAAGTTTGTTGTGCTGTTAAATGTTTCTCTAAATCAGTGTTTCCTTGACCAAAAGCTTTAGCTGGACACGGCTGTAATAGTGGTCTCCGGTATCCCCAAAAGTCTAACTTCTTTGTAATTTTAAACCAAATCTCTCAATTTTAGAATGATTAAAGATGCATTATGTAAGATTAAAGAAAGAAGGACATCCTGTGATCAAATTTGGGTACCGCAGCTCAAATTCAAAACAAACAGTTGACTCCACACCTCCAGTGGAGTGACGTGGTATGGTGCCATTTACGGATCAGCACCGAAAGATTCTAGATGATGAGTGAAGACGAGTCATACACAGTAAGTAGATAAGTAGATACATATATTTCACCATAATATTGAGTCCTTGGTAACTGAAAAAGTAGCTTGAGGAGTTTTTAGAGACAACTGTTTTTTTGCTAATTCACGGTTAGCATTGTTAGCTCAATGTTAGCTTCTAGCTTTCAAATGATATAAGATTAAAACAAAATTAAAACAAAAGGACAACGTAGTCTAGGGGTACAAGAAATTACTTGTGGGCCGCTCCTGTTACTGTAACATATTGTCCCCAACTCTGGAGAGCTTTGCCGGCCAGTGCCGAATTACAAATGCAGACTCGGCAGTTTTTGCTGGCGCAGTCATGGCAACCCTGCAAAGTGTAAACATAAACAATGTTTCTCTTTGGCACTTTTGAAAAGAGAAAAAATGACAAACCCCACATGGCTGAGAAGGAAATCTGTTAAAAATGCAACCTCACTTCCAACATTAGACTGTTTAGTGAATATTTCACAGTAACGTTCATAACTTATTGCACCTTTAATTTTATGTTATAGGCTCATACCTTTAGTTATACTGCTGATTTTCTCACCCTGCTATCTTCATTCTCAATTTCTCAGTTACTGCTGTCATTACCTTTGTTCTCCTCCTTAATTCCAAAAGAAATGTACTTTGTATTTGTCTCCTTTCCTGTCCTCTTGGACCCCAATGGACTGAGGCAGGAGAACACCTGTTCTTAGCCTGGTTCTCCTGAAAGGTTCTCTCTGTCCCTCTGCCATCAGCCATTCCATGCATGTTAGAGGTTGCAACACGCATCCTGATCTGGCTGCAACTGATTATTTTTTATGTCCCAGCCTAAGAGCTGGAGCACCTCGTGCTTAAAAACAAGAACATATATCAGGTCAATGTATTTAAGGCAGACTAAACGAGAACAGCAGATTCATTTGAGTCATTTTACTTGAGACTTGACTTGGAAAAATGACTTGTGAGCATATCTGCAATACAGCTGCTAAAAGGTCGGTGACAAACATTTTAATACTGATGTTAAGGTCAACTTAGATTCAGTCCAGGGACTAAAATATGTTCAGTTAATGCAAATATTAAAAAATCTGTCCAGAGATTCTAGTTGGAGTTAAAGGGACAAGAAAACATTACTCACATATAAAAGGTTGTGTGTGTGCATGTGTGTGTGTATCTACATTCATGCTGTAAAGTGTCACTCACCCAGTGGGGGGCAGTGTGTGACCAGGATGTCTGTGTTGTCAGGGATCTGGTTCCACTTGTCTAGAAGAGCCTGACCTCTTGGCAAGTTGAAACCCCAGCCATAGTACCAGGGTTGCCTACACACACACACACACACACACACACACACACACACACACACACACACACACACACACACACACACACACACACACACACACACACACACACACACACACACACACAAATGAATGAAGCAGAGAAACAGAACAAAGTGTTAACATGCTGTCTGAGTCGTAAATCTCCTGTTGGATGTTTTACGGGTTATAACTGATCTCAGAGCAGCCGAGTCTCTTGGTTGCTGAGTGCATTTGTTCTATTGTTATGAAAAGATATAAGAAATAAGAATTACACAAAACACAAAAAGCTCATAAGTTTTACTAACTAGAAGGAGACGCAAGAGTTGTATTATAAAATTCAAAGCTTAACTGGAAAATAGCCATGATTACAGTTGTATAATGGTAGAAAATAATTTAGTTTTTGAGAGGAAAATACTTTAAAGCAAAATAAAAACTAAACTAGACTACTCTAAGCTAAACCACAAATACCCTAAGTACTCTCAGAAAAATCAACCCTGACACTACAAAGTTCAGAGGGAAGCCCTTAAGTGGATCCTGAATAACAATGGTTTAATTCTGACTGGATTGATGAGCTAACAGCTAGTCGGCATTGAGTCATAAAATGGCATCTCTCAAATTTGGCAGAAATATTCTGACATTCCTGCATGAAATGCCAGTTGCCATGGAGACAGCTGCTGCTGTTTGTGCTTTATAACTAGAATTCCGTTAAAACAGAATAATGTGAAACCGATGGTGATGCATATGTTTGTATAAAAGTGTTTGCATCGACCACTTTAACATTTTTCAGACTGAAGTTGTTTTTAAACTAGAAACCCATTTTTATTCATATTTACCGTCTGCTCAGCCTGACTCAGAACTATACCAGAGACTGGTTTAAACGGAACCTGTGGGTGTTTGTGGAAAGGTTTATTCTTTGGTCTCAATCAGTGAAGGGATGTGCAAAGTCAGGAAGTGCATGAAATAAAGATAAGAATAACAGTCAGAAGAGGAGCAGAGAAGCCCTGATGGCTGGGCTTGTGTTCTTCTACTTTGGGAGCTAAAGCTCCGGCCGTGAGCGACGGAGAAGAAATTAACATGTCACTTACAATATGTACCCCAATCCATCTTTTTTTTTTTTTTTTTTTTTTTTTTTTTTTTTTTTTTTTTTTTTTTTTTTTTTTTTTTTTTTTTAACGTGTCCTGTCTGGCTGTGAAGCAAGCAGAATTGATGTCTGAATGCTGGTAACAAGCCTTACAGTTTTACTCTCAGGTGGAGCATCAGAGCATCTGCTTTTAATGTCTCAGGTGGAGCATCAAAGAGTCTGCTTTTAATGTCGCACCTGATATTTAAAACTTTATTGTTATTGTTTTTGAATGCTTTGTAATTTCGACCAGACACGGAGACAGAGGTGAAAGAGAAAGGAAAAGAGAAAAGGTGGGGAGAGAGGGGGTTAGGTGGGGGGGGGATTCAACAAAAATAAACAATAATGAACAAGAGTCTGCTTCTAGACCTGCAAAATGAGACGAGAAAAAAGCAAAACATAACAAAAAAATGGGACACAACACCAATATAACAAAATCAAGCTATCACTGCGTCAACTTGATGAAGAAATATATAATCAATCATTGTTTAACTAAACAGTCACACGATAATATACCACAGTGCATTGAGTGCCCACCATAGTCTTAAGACATGTGTTGAACGTGCCCAAGCCCATACTTATGAGAGCACCATGTGAGCACCTGTGTGTGTACACGCGCTTGTTTATGTAAGGTTTATCTATAGGAGCGTCCAATAGAGAGTGTGAGGGACCACAGATCTGCCCCCCAAAGACGCGTAGGAGACGGGGGGGAGCTCCAAGTCCCAGAGATCCAGGCGCTGCCCCAGAACACAGGAACCCCAAGGAGCCCGCAACCAGAAAGGCCCCCGCCCCCCTCGAGAGGCACAGAGGATCGCCCCGGGGGGCCACAACCAGCAGCCGGCAGAGCCCCGGGAGATATCAGCGGCAAGTCCTCAGGCCTGCCCGCAGCCTCCCACCCCCTAGCCGGCCGAGTCCGGGACCCAGCGACCCGGGACCCAGGGGCGACCACCCCCGCCGGGGACCCAGCAGAGCCCAGGGACCCAGACCCCCCCAGGCCGCCACCGGGATTGATCAGGCAGATGCCAAAAATCTTAAACTCCCTGACCCGGGAGCCACGAACACTCAGGCAGACCAAGGCATCACACCCACACCAGGTGTGACAGGGGGGAGGGGAGACGAAGATCTATATCATCAAAGGAGGTCCCAGGAGAAGGGAGGAGTCAAAGGCCCCACCTGACATATACAGTCATACACAAACACAGTCACACACTCCCTCCCTCATGCTCACACATGCACATACAACCAAAGACTTACAAAAATACACGCCGGACACTCATTCATGCTCCCCATACACACCCTATTCACTCTGGTCCCGGTAATGCTGCACATGGGGTACAACCACCACCGGTTACCAGAGTTTGACCCTTTCTGCTGGGGTGCCGATGAGCAGGCTCCCCCGCCCACCGCCGAGCACAGCAACCCACCACCCCAGACCCCAACCAGACGGCCAGATCTCCCTCCTAGTCTCCAGCCCCAGGCAGCCAAGCAACAACAGAGGTGTGCTAAGACCCCCTGGTCTCCCTCCACCTGCTCCAACATAGTGTTGTGGGTTAATGAGGTGTATTCTATTGCTGTGGTGAGCGGGCAGTGCGGGCATTTTCTGGCCTATGCCAGCTGATGCCACTGCACCACCCTACTTGCACCCACAGCCCTTGGTGTCTAAATGCAGTTTAAAATTCGAAGTGGGCACCGGCACTCGGGAGGAGGCTGAGAACTCCCCCTGCCAAGTGCCGTTGAATGTGCTCACTCCCAAGGCCCTAAGTGTATGTTTGCGTGGAATGTCGTCGGTGGAAGTGCATAAGGTGCAAATAAAATTGGGGGGCAGGAAGCCACAGGAATGCGGAAATGGGGTCCATACCCGCACTCCTCGACCTGTCCACCCCCCAAGGTCCTATGTGCATGTTTGTGTGATGATGTGAGGGAGCAGGAGGAGAGAAATAAACGGGGATGGGGAGGAATGGCTGGTAGGGCTTAGCCCTCCAGGGAGCCAGCTCCCCCACTGACCCCAATAGGCACCTCCGTTGTCATACCGCTGCCCAGGGCATGGAGACCCCAGCCCATCCTGCCAGGGCCCAAAGCAGCAGCATCACAGAGCCCCACAGAGCCCGAGGGAGCCGACCCAGCCCCACCCCAGCAGAATATCTATGCCCATCCCTGCATTTGCACAACTTCCAGAATATATAAGACATAAGACATCCAGGTAAGGTTGGGTCCTCCCCCTCCTGGACCTCCCCCTCCCCTGTGATGGGACAACAGAGGAGCCAGGGCCTGCCCTACGCCCCCGAACCCGGGCCAGGTACTTCTGCGTATTCCTGCCTTCTTCCCGGCAGCGTACATGTAGGGACCCGACCCCCAAGGCCCAGCCCAGATCCCCACACGGGGCCGGCCACCCCAACACCCCGAGCCCCCAGGCCCCCACCCAGACCCACCCAGGGGCAATGCAGCCGCCAGGCAGTGACCCATGGCCGCCGCCAAGACCTCCAAGGGGCTCCACTCACAACCGCCAGCAGTACACCCCCCGAGGCAACCCAAGCACCTCCAGAGGGGGGGAACGGCCCCCCAGTGCCAGACATCCCCAGTGAACCCATCCCCAGGGAACATCCAGATACTCCAAACTCAGACCCTCCACCCCCCCACCCACATCATCCCGCAGGACATCATCAACGGCCCCCCATCACCGCTATGTGATGGAACCGATCAAAGGAGCCCAGAGAGATTTATTTGAAGTGGAAGCAGAGGCTAAATCAAGTGCAATATGATCTAACAAAAGATTTCTATACTGGTTAATGCAGAGATTTTCTCTATTTTTCCAATTCAAGAGGATAGTTTTCTTAGCGATGCATATGGCAGTCAGAACCACGTGAACCAAAGATTTTTCAATCGGGACATCATCCAGGTTTCCCAGTAAACAAAGAGAGGGGGTGATTGGGATATGACATTTCAGAGACTTTGACAGGTCTTCACATACTCTACCCCAAAATTCCTGGACAGGTGGACAGGACCACAGTGCATGAACGTAATTGTCAGGAATGTTGTTTGTGCAGTGTGTACAGATGTCAGACGACACAAACCCCATCTTGAACATCCGATGACCTGTATAGTGTACTCTGTGTAGAACTTTGTACTGAATTAATTGTAAATTGGGGTGTCTGATCATTTTAAAAGTTTTTAAACAAGTTTGGGACCAGAAGTCCTGGTCAAAGCTGACTGATAGATCCACCTCCCATTTTTCAATAGGGATTGCTATTCTATCGTCTATTTTGGACAGTGTCTTATATACTTTAGACAGTAGTTTAGGGGGTTTGAGATTGCAGAAGTCTAAAACCCTTGGCGGGGTTTGTAATTCTATTTTATTGAGCTTAAATTTTTGTTTGACTACAGATTTGATTTGGTGGTATTCTAAAAAGCTATTCTTTTCTATTCCAAATTGGGAGACTATTCTATTAAATGGGATGAAGTCCAATCCTTCATATATGTTTTCCAGGTATAGGATTCCTTTATTTTTCCAGTCCAGAAGGTTCATCATTTTATTATTTTGCAAAATATCAGGATTATTCCAGATAGGTGTGCGTCTGCATGGTACTAGTGAAGACTCTGTCATTTTAAGATACTCCCACCATGCTGTCAGAGAAGTGCTGATACTAATACTTTTGAAGCCTTCATGTTTTCTTACGCTTGAGCTAATAAATGGTAAGTCTGAAAGCTCTATCGTATTGCAAAGTGTCTGTTCTATATCTAACCAGGACTCGTCTAATGGGTTATCTTGCAACCATCTTGGTATATATTGCAGCCTGTTGGCTAAAAAATAATAATAAAAGTTGGGTAGATCCAGTCCTCCTCTGTCTTTGCTCTTCTGAAGCGTTTTTAAGCTAATTCG